AGGAATGTTCTAAATATAAGCGTTTCATGCTAGAATATGTTGTGCGAATTACTTTGAACGATAACATATGATTATCGTTGGTTTGAAAGGAAAGCTTGCTGGGAATGATTGTTTGTTGTGGCTGAAYTTGTAGAAGCATGCTAGCTAATGTGGGATTGGTGTTCAGTGTTCTAGTATTCATCCGTGTACCGTGTTTTTAAAGCTCAAGGCGCAAAAAAAAAATATTAAATAAAGGACAGGCAAGGTGCACGCTGTGGAAAAATACATTAAAATATATATACATAACATATATGGAAATAAAGGAGTTATAACACATAGTAAGATGTAAAACATATAAAAGAAATAAGATTCAAAAGGTCTTTTAACATAAAGAGTCAATGCTACACAAAAACATCAAACAATCCTAAAATAGTATGATAATTGCAAATAAAAAATATAAAGATTTAGGTCATCATAACTAAATAGGTSTGCATTTTAATTCTCTATCATTCGACTTATAGGCTGTAACGCCCCGCGTTCTCGGGTATGTTTATTTTAAGATATGATTAGTGCCTTTGAATTTTGCCCGAAGCTGATAATTTTAATTCTTGGATTTTATAATTTTGGAGTTATGATGTTGGGTAATTTAGAATTTAGTTTAATTCTGTTGGATTAGGATAATTTAAGTTCTCGAACAGTGCAGGAGACTTCTATTTAAATCTTAAATCCATGGTTTTGGGACTCTCAATTTCTATTTATTGGATTTTTATTCTTGGCATTTAGAGTTTAAGTTAACTGTTTTATTTCGGATTGTTGTGGGTTTATTTGATTTCTAAACTGAAAGTTTGGACGTGTTGTTTTGGGACTTTGTGTTACTTATTTGGGCCTCATTTAAAAATTGGGATTGGGCCATAGGTTTTAAAACAAACTAAAGAAAAAGGAATGGAATCAAATTAAAAAAAAAAAAAATGAAAACCCTAAATCTATTTTGTTATTTTTTTCTTTTCTTTTTCCTTTCTCCTTCTTCTTCTTCTTTTTCCCCTTTCTTCCC